GTTTATATTGTAATATGTTATTGCTCTTGGGTAATAATAATATATCATACAAATTCAATAGTAAAAATATTGGGGGAATTACAATGTAAACATTTAAATAGTTGTAACTTCAAAATGCCGACAAAATAAGGCTAAACAATTTATGTCATAAAAGTAAAAATGCGTGAAAGAAAAAAATAATAATATAACACTTTAAAGAAGAAGAAGAACAACAACAACAATAATAATAATAATAATAATAATAATGATAATAATAATAATAATAACATGCATTACAATTCAATAGTAAAAAGACTGCAATAAAAGCAGTGTACATTTAAATTTACAACCTTAAAATACAGATAAAATGAGGCTAAACAATATTATGCCATGAAAGTGTAAAAACGAGGAAAAAATAATAATAAATAACACTTTAATATAATATAGGCCTAGTCATGTATGTGTAAAAAAAAAACATACTAACAAAAAACAAAACACGATTCATTCTTGGCATTGATTTTGCACCTTTGCCGTTTTGGTCTATGCCTATTGCCGTTTTGGTACTGTCATTGCTGTTTTGGTCTATTGCCGTTTTGGTACTTATTTTTGCCGTTTTGGTTTATTGCCGTTTTTTTCGTTGCCTTTTTGGTTTTTTGCCGTTTTGACCTGCTCCCTTCAAAACTTCAGCCATCTTTGTTTGAGTACTTCAACAACCAATTGAATTGGATTTCTCACGTCATTCTGAAAGAAAACTCAAATCCTTGTAAGCAGCTCACCTTCTACGAAGCCAAGACCACTACACTCAGAAGAAGACCAAAATCATTTACAGAGCTGTGTCTGTGAGTGGCCCGGGTGAGTGGATGTTCAAGATCTCACTCAGTACATATTCAAGACTCATTCTGCAATAAATTGTTGTGGAGAAGGTTGACAGAATTAGTAATTTTGCAAAAAGTGTTAAGGAAATAGTGATTCTTCAAAATGGAACTGGTTATTCTGCATTAGGTTTTATTATTCATAACTGAATCTGCAATAACTTGACTGAGGAACTGGTGAATCTGCAATATAGTTTGATTGAAGAACTAGTGATTCTGCAGGTTGATTGAGAAACTGGTGATTCTTGTTGACGAACTGTTAATTCTTCAATCCTGAAGGTTGATTGAGGAACTGGGGATTCTGCATAAAGTTGATTGAGGAACCTTGGACATTCTGCAATAGTTTGATTGAAGAACTAGTCATTCTGCGATATGTTGATTGATGAACTGGTGGTTCTGTGAGGTTGATAGAATAACTGGTGAATAATTGAGGAACCGGTGATTCTTCAATAGGTTAATTGAGGAACTGGTGATTCTGCATAGGTTGATAGAAGAACTAGTGATTCTGCATGATTTAGAAACTGGTGAGTCTGCAAAAAGTTGTTCAGGAACTGGTGCTTCTGCTGTAGGTACAAAAAATGATTTCAAATCCATTCTTTAGTAGGTACATACAATAGCTTATTTTCTCTTTGATCGTCACTTCAGATGAGGAACTGGAGATTGTCTGTCTAGAATTGTTGCAGAGAAACTGGTGATTCAACAATAGTTTATTGCTGATGAGCTTGTGATTCTCCAAAAAGTTGTCAAGGAACTGCTGATTCTGCAATGGGTTATTGTGGAAGTAGTGATTCTGCAAGGTTGTTGAAGAACTCCTGATTCTGAGAGAGCAGCTTAGCTCAGTCGGCTAATCTGGGGGTAGCCACTGTGTGTGCGCTGAACCATGGAGATCCATGGAGATCTCTAGGTCTCCGGTTCAATTCCTATCGGTGCTTCTCCTTATGTTTCAGCTAGAGGGCTGAAATACAAGTTTACAATAGCGCACCGTCTTTCGGATGAGACGTTTATGCCGTTGGTCCCGTGTGCATTTATGGCCCATGTGCACGTTAAAGAGCACAGTACACTCTTCGGAAAAGAGTAGGGCATTGTCTCCCGGTGTACTGTCCAATCACCACCAGAAGGACCCCACTGGAAATAAGTCTTCTTCTAAACTTTCGTGGGCTATCCTTGGTGTTTACACCGAATAAATCCAATCCAAATCCAATTCTGCAGTTTAGGTTGTTGAGGAACAATGACCATTCAACTACATTGATGTGATTGGATACACAACAACAATTTGAAAATGTACCAAATCCAATGTAGACTCCTGTTCTTGTGTTTAGTGGAACTCTATCTTAGTTGTGGTTCCAAGATGATGATGATCCCTTCATATCAGTGATTCCTAGTTATCAGATATATAAACAGTAAGTTACAGAGATTGATAGCCTATACTGTAGGCCTCTCACAAAACTTCTGCATCTTTACATTGGCAAGTTCATGTAAAGTGGTCTGTAACTCTGAAATGATGTTTTTTTTAAAATTTATTTTAATGCTCATATTGTAGTTGTCTTTGTTGATAGGCTGATTGAGTTTGAGGAGAAAAAAAAAATTCAAAGAGCAGCTTGATAGCGTCTGTGTAACCCTAGAGTACAGTAGCTAAATTCATAAGACATTGCATGGAGGAATGATAAGATAGGATATATTTGATGGCACCACAGTATGTACACTAACTACTTTTACTACATGTGTATTTCACAATGTAATATGCTTGAACAGTTGGCCACCTACTTGCTCCATGCAAATATCTAAACAAATTAAACAGAATGAAGTTTCTGTGTACTGCTCAAATGCACCTATTGAAGATTTTGCACTTTGTTCACATGTGCTGCTAATCCTGTGTTATAAAAACATTGCTCTTCCTCTTTTGTTCAACCATGGAGGAAGAGGTGAGTCATCAACAATCATACAATAAATTACAGATTTGTAATGTGAGATGTGAGAATCGGCATGCTACACAAATATTCAGTTGTTTTACCAAGGAAGAGGCCAAAATACTTTAATAGTTCACAAGGCCACTTTCAAGCCTTATCCATTATAAACTTAAGCAGGAATGTTAGCTCTGTTCTTACTATTTTTACTGTACAAACCAAACTACTGTACATAGGCCGCACTTTCAGATTAAACAATTCAAAATAGAGGCAGCCCATGGAGAGACTTTCACAGATTGAGGGTTTAGGCCACAGGTAACAAAAAAATATAATTTTCTTTTTTCTCCATTTTTTTATAATTTAGAACCTGCCTTGAATCCGCCACTGGGCCGGGGTGTCTGAGAGTGAGAGATTGTTGGCTATGAAACCTAATTAGGCCAAGACCCTATAGTTCAAAAATATGTTGATTGAGTGACCTTGAATTCAAAAAGTCATACAGTAATATTGCTTGTGCAATACTGTACAACTTTTTTTATCATAATGCATCCATTGATTTATGCAGGGAGATATAATTGTACACGCATTCACCAACATTTTACAAAATATCTATATATAGCCAACATTATCTCAAAGGGACTCATCCTCACTACCATGAAATTTATATTTGATTAATTCTGTCCATGTATCACTGTACATATTAGTAATGTAATTAGATGTACTTGTATAATTTTTTGTCCCAGTGTACAGACT